TATGGGAGCCATTTGCCACAGGTGGCTATTTAAGTTTAAATTAATTAAAATTGAATAAGATTACAAATTCAGTTCCTTGGTAACACTAGCCACATTTCAAGTGCTCAGTAGCCACATGTGACCTATGGCCATCATATCAGAGTGCAGATTATAGACCATTTCCATCATTACAGAAAGTTCTATTGGGCAGCGCTGCTCTAGATAGTTTAGGCTTACACTAGAATCAAGATGACTAGAAAACTGAATACTTACATCATTTTGGTCCTTGAAGGATTGTGTTTTTTGTGTAACAATTGGTGCCATAAGAGGTAAGCCCCCAAATCTCATAGCTTTGCACAATTGAAGTTTATTTCTTTCACACGTAGAGCCTGATTGGTGAGCAGATTTCCTCCAAGCGGTAATTTAGAGTCCCAGGCTCCTTCCATCTAGTAATTCTCGATCAACATAAAGCTTCTAAGACCACTGTGCTTGCCTGTATCAAGCTCTCAAGTGGAGAAAGTGTGTGGTTTTCACGGGCTGGGCCTGGAAATGGCTTATATTTCATTGGCTTGAATTCAGTCAAGTGGCCACACCTAACTGCAAGGAAGGCTGCAAAATGGGGTCTAGCTGTGTGAATGGTTGAAGAGGAAATGGACTTAGCGGGCACCTAGCTGGTCTCTGCCACGAGTATCCTGTCCTTAGCTTACACTGAGGAATAGGAAACAATCCTGGGAAACTTGTTTTTACGTTTATTGTAAGCATATTATTTAGGATATTTTTCAGTATGACCCTGTTATAGTTTTGGAGAGATGTACTGTTTTAGGTGCTGGGGGCACATGTACAGTATTTCCATTGCCGTAGAAAGCTGTATTTTTTTCTGAGTTCTTGGTGTACTTTTTCTTTATGGAGAAAGAAAATTCTGTAACTTTCACTTTTTTGTTTTGTAAGTAAGCTCAGCTCACAGTCAAATATGTATTGCAAGTATAATACTGTCTAGTATCCTAAAGCTTGCATGACTGCATTCTAATTTTTTCATGTACTTGGTTTTCCATTTTATCTTTTTTTTTTTAATTTAATGTTTTTTGTTTATTGTACTTTAGGTGAAAGTTTAGAGAGCAAATCAGTTTCTCTTAAACAATTAATACACATATTGTTTTGTGACGTTGGTTAACAACCCCACGTCATGTCAACGCACTCCCCTTCTTGACCTTGGGTTCCCCGTATTCATTTGCCCAGCTTTCCTGTCCCCTCCTGCCTTCTCGTCCTTGCCCCTGGGCTGGTGTGCCCATTTAGTTTTGTGGACATGGTTGAATTACATGTAGTATTGTTTGTTTTATAGACCTGTCTAATCTTTGGCTGAAGGGTGAACCTCAGGAGTGACTTCAGTACTGAGTTAAAAGGGTCTCCGGGGGCCATACTCTCAGGGTTTCTCCGGTCTCTGTCCGACCATTAAGTCTGGCCATTTTTTTGTTAGTTAGAATTTTGTTCTATGTTTTTCTCCCTCTCTGTCCGGGACCCTCTATTGTGATCCCTGTCAGAGCAGTCTGTGTTGGTAGCTGGGCACAGTCTAGTTGTGCTGGACTCAGTCTGGTGGAGGCTGTGGTAGTTGTGGTCCATTAGGTCTTTTGGATTAATCTTTCCCTTGTGTTTTTGGT